AAAAAAAAAATATGGAATATAGTCTTTGAAAAATTTTATAGAAATTGAGTACATACCCATACAAAGGACCACGCACAATTCATATGAAAAAAATGTTTTCGGTTAATTTGCTTGAATTTGTGATATGTTATAGTTCTTATGTCCCCGATTAAAAATGTCAAGTTACAGAAACTTTCTATGTCCAGTTTCCGAATTGTACGGGTATACAAGAAATATCGGAACCCCTTAATATTTTGAAAAATATGCATTTTAGAAAAAAAATATTTCATATAAAAGTTGTAGAGTTTTATGTGACGCATTACATAGCAATATTATTTTGATCTTGAATAGCGTTATCAAGATCACGTAAAAATCATTTTGAAATTTTTTGATGAAACCCCCATTTTTGATTGCATATTTTTGTAGCTTACCTTAAGAGCTTTTCAAAACACTATAACAAAGTTCCTTTTCATTAAGTATTTTCCTTAATGCTATTTAAAGTCATACTAATATTGCTACTTAATACGCCACTTTAAAATCCTACAACTTTTATTTGAGATATTTTTCTCAAAAATGCTATATTTTCAAGATTTGAAAAAATAGCATAATATATCACAAATTCAAGCAAATTGACTGAAAACGTTTTTTTTCATATGAATCGTGCGTGGTCCTTTTCGCTATTAGATTTGCGTAAGGAATCATACACTGGATATAGAGACGGATTATAGCACCTTTTATGTGAACCTTCTTATCGTTCATCAAGTCCTTGGGTTCCGTATTCGGCAGTGGTTTATATTCCTTGGCACCAGGCACTTTCACGTGCGTGCCATTCGGCCTCTTGTCGTCGTCCATCACATTTTTGAAACCGATCGCTTTCACGCCGGTCGCGGTCACTAGAGACTCCGTGTATTGTTGCGGTTGCCAACGCTGCGAGCCGGAAGCTGCGACGGTCGCCGCCGCTCCCGAGGCCGCTCTGCGACGTCGTTGACGATCCTTGCGAGCGCTTCGCCACACTTCGTAAATGCATCCGATCACCGCAGCCACAAAGACACAGCACAGAGCTATGAAGATGTACGTTCCCGCACCTTGCTCTTCCTGAGTCGCGCTCGAATACTGTGACTTGTACGGTATTCTCTCCGGCGGGTCCTCGACCCATTCCCGATCACGGCCCTTTAACATGTTTCGAGACTTGATGTATCCGTTATTTTTTGTATTGAATAATATTACGCTACTGATGTAGAGGCTTAAAAAATTTGATTAACTCACTAAAATATATAATAATTACATATTTCAAAAAATGGAAACACCCCAGTCAGCCACGTCTGTTCTAATAGATATTGCCAAGTGCTTGCTACAAATTATTGTCAGCAAAAAGGCTACAAATATGAATTACTAGCAAAATTTTTGGAATGGTCTTCAATTGCCTTCTATTTGACATAAATCTTAAATCTCGTAATTATTTTACAATTTATCATCATTTAAAGATTATGAATTATTTCAAATTCAGACAAAAACTCGTAGATTTGTTATATTATTTGCTTTTACTTGTAATAAGAGATAATAAATAAAGAATAATAATATATATATGTGTAAAATTGGCTATGATTTAATATATTTTAATTTAATATTGCTTAATTTTCGAGTCTCTCACCACACTGTCGTTTCTGGGCGGTTCAAGACCACCCGGTTGAGCATGGAAAACCGCGCATTGAGCGCTTCTAACACCGGCGGGTATCGTTGCCCGAACGGTCTCGCTAGCTTGCTTCGTAAAGAGCATATATTCTTCCAACGGTTTCATACCGGGGCCCCCGTTGATCGATATCACGACATCTATAAAAAAAAGCATAACTGTAATTTGGAACTTGCAAAATATCTAGCTACATCTAACATAAAGGAGAAATGTATCTCCATTTACATACACAGAGAAAATATTATAATAAATATTATAATATAATTTTTTGCGTAATCGTGGAACATAATAATATATAAGAGAAATCACGCGACATATTTTTATTCTATAATATTATATACGGATTATATTTTACAAAGGAGTATTGTAATTATTCAAATATTTTGATGCACAAAAAAATGCATAAAACAAATGTAAATACTAAAACAAACATAATTTACAATTTTTATTATAGTAACAAATATCCTAATGTTATTATATATTTCAGCTTTATAATACATGTTGTAAAAGGGAAATATCTATTTTTCATGTAATTTGTATTGTAAGATTTTCTCCGAATAGACGACAGAAACGAGCGCTGATAAATACAATCACTTATATCGATAGACTTGACTTACTGCTGAGACAGCCGGTATATCCTTTGTAGGCGATAAATCGCGAATCGGTAGTATTTAATCCACCAAGCTGAATTTCTGTGGCACCGGGGGTTTCATCCTCATCTGCTCGAATCGGCAGTCCCGGAAGTGGTATCAATTGGGCGGGTTCGCGGTCAATCTATAAAATTATATGCACATTATCAAAATTGGAACAGTTAGTTTTTCTATGATATATAAAAATTTTAGAATAAAATAAATTATGTAACTCACCAAGAGATTAGCGGTGTTGTTATCGCGAACATAATAAACGCTGTGACGTGCACCGTTCAAGAAATTCCGGTCGTTCAGACGCACTCCGTAAGCGGCCGAGCCATCTCTGTCCTCCTCGAAGATGAGCTGTCCCTCGGACGTTAAAGCCACTAATAGGTAGTAGCTTCTTCTGGAAAAAAGTTCGTCGAAAGATATCCAGGACTTTCCAAGTTTCGAACGATTGAGTACATAAATAAATTGGTACATTAAGTAAATATTAATATCAATATTTTACTTATTGTCGGTCTGCACCAGCAGCAACGCGGTAGTTCGCTGTCGCAGTTCGTTCGTCGAGAATGCCAATTGAACCTTCACCTGATTTACCTCGCCCTCGAGTTCGAATTCTCGTTGAAGTACACTCTCGCCGCTGAAGTCGGCGCCTTTTTCTATACGAAAGATAATTTTTATGTGAAAACATGGAAAAAAAATTTCACGTTGCTTTCTCTGACAGGAAGCTTTTTGTAGAAATAAATACAATAATTTGCTTTTCACATTAATATTATTTTGAAATATTAATAGATTTTTTTTATCTTAAAAAAAAATCTAATTCTGAATACTCTTCGAATGGGTGTTGCATCTGCAAAGTTTTGTGCTTTGCAATTTTTAAATTTCAAAATTCATAAGATTTTTAATTCTTGATTTAAATATTTCTATTTAAACTCAAGCAAGAATTATATTTCTTATTGATTCTTATGACAAGTAATAGAGCTCACCATCAGCGCAATATTCGCCAAAGTAAGACGTCAGCTCGCAATTGCAGGAAGATTCCTGCCTGTTGAAATCTTCCGTGCAGATTCCCAAATTTTTACAAGGCATCGTGTCGCACTTCATCTGACAATTTGGTAGAACGCCTTTGCTGCCTTCGTGATTTGCTTCGCTAGCTAAACTCGGCAGATCAACTAGATATTCGCCAATCATGAGTCCTCGCAAACAACCGACGTAACCTTGAATTAAGGCACCTTCTTCTCCGACTCTCAGCAAATTGCCGGGATCGAAACCTCCTAAATTTACCTAAATAAATATTTATTATTTCTTATACAATTAATTTTTATATGTTTTCTTATTGTGATTATGAAAAATATTCCAAAAAGCCATTCTTTTGTATACTGATCATGATGATTTATAATACAAGAAAATTAAGAAGAAATAACGTACTTTTCTGGATTTTCCTTTATATGATATATTTTTTGGCTTTCTATATTATTTGGGATTTGAATTTGACTAAAAATTAATATCTTTTACTTCCTCATACAGGAAGCTTTGTTTTCGTGACAAAACTTCTTTCCAGTTTTTTATGTCAATGTGCTTAGAATGTTTCAAAATGTCAAAAAATCATATTTTAAGAAAATGTCTGTATGTATGTATGCATGTATATATGTATGTATATATGTATGGAATGTACATTGTACAATCTCTAACTTCCGCAATTTTTGATATACCGGGCTAAATTTTTTTAGAATGAATAGAGTATCATTAAAGGATGGTTGGTATTGAATTTGGTGAGGATAGGTGAAAGGATTCATTTTTTTATAAAATTTTGAATTTTTTGAGAAATGCTTGTGCACGCTCTCTTTCGCAAATTTTTAGATATCGGGTTAAATTTTCTTACATAAATAGAATATTATTAGAAAATGGTTGGTACTGAATTTGGTGAGGATAGGTGAAAAGATTCATTTTTTTATAAAATTTTGAATTTTTTGAGAATCGTCTGTACACGTTGTAACTTTCACAAATTTTGAGATATCTTCCTCTATGAGGAAGCCAAAATTGAAAAACCCGTTTGCTTTAAGGAGCTTAAGCTCTGTGACCGAAATAAAATGATGAGGAAGCAATGTGCAAGTTTCTAATTTGCACAATTAAAAAAAAAAAAAAAAATACTTTACTTGAAAATAATCGGTGGGGGACGCCGGCGGTCGCTGCGGTGCTAAAACTTCTTTCTCCGGATTTGTCCATGGCTTGTTTGAGTATGTATCCAGAAGTACGGGTGCCGCATTCAATGTGACGTTATATTCGTTCACGTGCAGCGTGGTCGAATTTTCGCCTCGAATAATAGCAATTTGCACAGAGATTCCCTTGTTGACGTCTAATAAAAATCGCAAGTTATTCCTTTCAAAATTTTAATACATATTTGGTTGAAATAAATATAACAGGCTTTCAATTCGTACTTGGATTCGAGACGGTAATGTTTTTGATTTCATTGCCGGCGTTGAAAAGATACACGATATTAGTGCCGTTCGAGATGTAAAGATGTACAAAGTTGTTTAAATGATCGTTCGCATAAAGTATTAGAGAGTGAGTGTCGTAAGTCCTTAAATTAATCAGAATATTTTTCTGCAGCATGCTCTTCAGCTGCAACTTTTCCTCGTTGTTCTCCGATCCGAAGTAATTCTTCTTCAGGAACGCTCCGGGCGAGGTGAATGTAAGGGCTTTGTTGTTGATGTCTGGATTCAGAAATGTTATTTTTAGTGATAATTGTGACATTCAAAAATTGACGAATTTATTTCCAAGCAATTTAAAAAAAAATCATATTTTTATGATATGGGATATATATATAATTTATACATTTAAAAAGTAAAACTAATGAATTTAAAATAGTTTAAAGAGAAGCTCTTCAAGTAATCGAATAAAGTTGTAAGCTTACTTGTTTCGCAAAAAGTGCCTAAATGCGCCCATTGATTCTCGCATACGCAGTAGAAATTGCTCCACAGTTCGACGCACCTGGCATTATTCTGACATTTATTAGGTTGGCATGAAGGCTTGCAATCCTTAATAATTTCCGATAGATGTACCGACATATAACTATGAATATCTAATATCTCTCCATTGACAACTAGACCGCGAAAGCAGCCGATGAGACCTTGTCGAACGGAAGAAGTCTTCAGATGCTCTCTAAAAGTGTTGTTAAAGTAACGGTTCGAATAAATAAAAATTAATTAATATAGAACGAAAATCGTCCTTTTTCATCATAATGAATTCATCATACGAAAACTAATTGTTTAAGGAGGCAGACCCGTTTGAAACCTCGAAAAATGAGTATATATTTTTAGATTTTTTAGCAGCGCAACTTGATAAAAATTTTTAATTTTTTAACAATATTAATACAATATTATTAACTACTTAAATAAAAATTTTAGCCTAAAAATTTTTTTTTTTTTAAGTTATGCAAATATTTGCAGATTTATGTTCTCATGCACGGTGCAAAACTCGGGCTACGTTCGATGGATTGACTTCAAATTTTACATGTGAGTTTCTAATAAACTTCCGCATCTGCCAACAAAGCTTTTTTTTAATCCAATTCCCCATTTTTTTGTTATAAAAAAAAGATGGACTTTTTTCAAAAAAACCGAAACTTTTTTTCAACACGCCGTCATTTTTTATTCTTTAAAATTTTGAAAAAATGCTTGGATAGCAGATAGCTATTACAATGTTTAATAAGAAAAACTTTGGATTTTTGATTTCAGATATGATCTACGAATGTTTTCATGCACACCGTGCAGCCACCTAAAATTTGGAGGAGCTCTGCAAATATTCCCATAACTTTAAAAAAAAATTTTTGTTTGAGCTGAAAATTCTTATTTAAGTAGTTAATAATATCGTATTAATATCGTAAAAAAATTAAAAATTTTTATCAAGTTGTTGCGCTGCAAAAAATCTAGAAAATGTACTCAGTTTTCGAGATTTCAAACGGGTATGCCCTCTTAATTTGCAAAAATTACTCACGCGGTAGCACCGCCAATGAACATTGATCCTTCGAAGGGCCCAAACTCCTCCTCGGGCAACAAATCAACCATTTCAGAGTTGGTGTTAATCATGAATCTCACGTGATAGTCGTTGTAGTCGATCCAAATCTTCTGCCATTCGCCATTATTGAGCTTGCGCCGGCCTTTTATCTCTAACTCGCGAATAGTGCCGGTGTTTAGGGTGAAATTGAATGTCAACTGATACTCGGATGTTAGCGCGACCATGAAGGAGGGATAGTTGCTCCGGATCGGCGGCTGATACAAAAGAATAGCCTTTTCGCCCGTCGTTCGGAAACTGAAGGCTATATCACCTTTCCTCCAACCCGGCACTTCGATATACGATTGCGACGTCGTAAATGTTACCACGTACTTTTGTGTATCTAAAGATCGTCATTAATTAATCTGTTTGATCTGTTGTTGCTTGTAAAAATTTTCTAAAGCTCTTTGCATGCAATGTTCGAAAAGTGAAATATTATTCTTTATGACTATTCAAACACAAAAATATCTGTCGTAAATAATTGCTTTAAAAAATATCTTATTATTATCATTTAATTATGTATACGTGAAGTGAAATTTTGTTAATTAAATAGAAAGCATATTTTCACATACTAGTCTCAACGCATTCTAATGGTCCTAAAGTGATACGTCCTCGAGCATCCTCCTCGAGATCTCTTTGTTGTAAGAATACCATTCCCGTGATACCTAAAGAATCAGGTGTTTCGTAGAATCCTTCATCTGAGAGCCATTTTCCCGCATTTCCGGCGGACACGTCGCAATTACAGCTCAAGTTGGAGTTCACGCATGTTCTGTTCACTAAAGTAAAATTAATAAATAATATTCTTCGTGCGAGGCACAATTAAGTTTGCAAACGCATATCTTTTTAGATTCATCGCGCTATAGGTTGTATTAATGTTGAATTTATTTAAGGGGACTAAGTAATAGTATTTGTCGAAAATGAAGTCTTTCTTTGGGAATTTATTACAAAAAAATGAATTGAAATCGAGAATTGTTCTTTAACAAAATATTTATTAAGATCATAAACTACAAAAAAAAAAAAATTTTTTTTAGTTGAGAATATGCATTAAAAAAAAATGACGCTGCAGATGGCTGATCGAAAAAGATTTTTAAATAAGTTTTGCAATGATAATTCAAATATAGAAGCTCAACCCGATTTGAAAAAAAATTGAGCATGTTCACAATATGTATAATTTCGGACTGAACCTCTAAAAAGTCTGTGCAAACCTTAGTTTTTGAGAGAAAAAAAATCAAATAGACGATTAAAATAACGATCTTTTTAAAAAAGTTCGTCGAAAAACAGATCTGTTTGATTTTTTTTTCAAAAATTAAAGTTCGCACAGGCTTTTTAGATGTTTAGTCCGAAATTATATTGTGAACATGCTCAATTTTTTTCAAGTCGATTTGAGCTTCTGTATTTGAGCTATCATTGCAAAACTTATTTAAAAATCTTTTTCGATCAGCCATCTGCAGCGCCATTTTAATGCATATTCTCAACTAAAACAAATTTTTTTATAGCTTATGATCCTAATAAACATTTTGTTAAAAGACAATTTTCGATTTTAATTCATTTTTTTGTAAAAAATTTCCAAAAAGACTTCATTTTCAACAAATACTATTGCCTAGTCTTCTTAAGGAAATACTTACTTCCGCAAGGGCATGACCCGCGATTGACATTTCCAATGTAATCAACAGTAGTGCCTTTCGAACCCAGAAACCACGTGGCACTGTGCAACTCCAAGGGTGCCTTATAACAATCGTACTTTACGTATTGGCTACAATAAAGCGAGTGTGAGATCAGCTCCTGAAGCATCTCGGCAGTGAACTGCCTGTACTTGATGTTGAAAGAAAAGTCGCTCTCGATTATAGATCTGACGTCGATTTGGGAGGGTAAATTGTGCTCGACAATCGTCTTGGTCGAATCCTCGATCGATTGAAATTCGCATTTTACCGAAGCGGGCGGAAATCGACCATTTCCATCGATGTCGATTTTGTAAACGTCATCCTGAGTGTGTCCCAAAAGAGCCAATTCCTCACAGGTTTTTCTATATCGTGCTAAAAATGTAAATTATGAAAATCGAATTAAAAAAATTGTAATAATATAACAGTATAAATAATAACAATATATATAATTATCAAATTGACTAATAAAGGCTCTTATGAATATATAATACGAAGGAAATAAAAGGCAATCAAGAGCCAGCGCGGCAATTTGTGCGCATCTGTTTTATTACAATCAAATTACATTGATATTTTGACTACGTGATAGACAAAAAGCGTACGTTTCGGTCCCTTTTTTGAACCATTCTCAGAGCAATTACAAAGTATATATTATATAATATATTATAATATAATATATTATATTAAAAATGTGACAGTAATAATATGCAGAACAAGAGTGAGTTACCCATATTGTCAAATGGTAAATGTTATATAATATAATTTTGAGACAGAAAGAGACCCAGACAGCACAAAACGTCCTCAGGATCATCCTGAATATGTCCAGGATGGTTCAGGATATTTGTAGGATGTTTTAAGATATTATTATAAATATATTTTATGAAAATTTAATATGCATACATGATTACTTTCGGTTATGTAGGCTATTTAATATAATTTAGAAATTTTAAGTATTGTAATAATAAGTATTAATGTCCTATAAATGTCCTGTATGTCCTGGATGCCCTTTGGACGTCTTAAGGACATCCTTGTGCTGTCTGGGTAGTGTACGGCTATCATTTACTCTTCCTCAGGACATCCAGAGGAGATCCGAGGATTAAAATAGGATATCCTCAGGATATCCTACATGTATGTCCTGGATGCCCTTTGGACGTCTTAAGGACATCCTTGTGCTGTCTGGGTAGTGTACGGCTATCATTTACTCTTCCTCAGGACATCCAGAGGAGATCCGAGGATTAAAATAGGATATCCTCAGGATATCCTACATGTATGTCCTGGATGCCCTTTGGACGTCTTAAGGACATCCTTGTGCTGTCTGGGTAGTGTACGGCTATCATTTACTCTTCCTCAGGACATCCAGAGGAGATCCGAGGATTAAAATAGGATATCCTCAGGATATCCTACATGTATGTCCTGGATGCCCTTTGGACGTCTTAAGGACATCCTTGTGCTGTCTGGGTAGTGTACGGCTATCATTTACTCTTCCTCAGGACATCCAGAGGAGATCCGAGGATTAAAATAGGATATCCTCAGGATATCCTACATGTATGTCCTGGATGCCCTTTGGACGTCTTAAGGACATCCTTGTGCTGTCTGGGTAGTGTACGGCTATCATTTACTCTTCCTCAGGACATCCAGAGGAGATCCGAGGATTAAAATAGGATATCCTCAGGATATCCTACATGTATGTCCTGGATGCCCTTTGGACGTCCTAAGGACATCCTTGTGCTGTTTGGGGACTGTCCGATAAATTATCCGAAATTACATTATATTATAACATTTACCATCTGACAATATGGGTGATTCACTCTTGTTCTATATTATTACTGTCACATTTTTGATATAATATATTCCATATACTTTGTAATTGCACTGAGAATGGTCCAAAAAAAAGGGACCGAAACGTATGCTTTTTGTGATTTTGTCTATTATTTAATATTTCAATTTATATTTTTATGCATGTGAAAACTGACATTATTTTGTTGTAACCTGACGTTAATTTTGGTTGCATGAATTTAATTATCGCGAATAATTTGTCTCACCAAAATGGCAGTTTTTCCCCATGTATCCAGTATCTGTGCAGTCACACGTGATCCTGTCTTCTTTGACCGAGCATTTACCGCCATGTTCGCAAGTGTTCGGTCTCTTGCACGGATCCACAAATTGACAATTGTCTAAAGCGACTTCTCCGATTACTCTCTCGGTGTTGATCACGTATCTAGGTTCGATTCTTTGATTATTCACTCGTATCTCGCGCATACATCCTACCAGACCTAAATTGCCGATTTAAAAATCTTATTATAATCATGTTAATTTTATATAATCTTTCAAACTTATCATACTAAAAAAAAATTTACCGGCATTGTTTTTACCGCTTCCTATAATAACTTTATCACCTAACTCGAACGTCAAAGCAAAGAGTTTACTCTGCTTATTCTTGTAATCGACCAGGATGCTGAGCTCGCCTTTTGTGTAATTAAGTTCGACCGCGTGCCAAGAAGTATTGTAAGGCGGAAATTTTACCGAAGTTATCACCGTAATATTCTCAGTCATAACAGGTACTAATTGGAAACGAATTTCGTCATTGACTTGACGTAGCTATAAAAAATACACGAAAAAATATTAGTTATTATAATATACAGATTGAATAAGTGAATAAAACTAAAAAGGAGAAAAAAGAGCATTATATATATATATATATATATCAGGGTTGAGAAAGTTACTTTATAAAAGTAACTCGTTACCGTTACCGTTACTCAAAAAATAACGAGTCGTTACAATTTCCGTTAGTTTTTTTATATATAACAATAACTTTACATACAATTTTTTTTAATACAAGATCAAATTAAACACTAAAAATTTTTAAACATTGTCTTACAAAGAAACAAGATACCAAAATGAGTTTTCAGTAGTTTTCATGTAATGCTGCATTCCAACACTCTTATCAATATTTTCCTTTGTATGAAAATTATACCGAGTAAATTCAAAAAAAGTAACGATAAAAGTAACTGTTAAATTCGTTACTCGTTACCGAAAAATGTAACGAAGTTACTTTTTCCGTTACAAACAAAATTTGTAACGCCGTTACCGTTACAGTTACTTTTTTTCGGTAACTGTAACGGTAACGGCGTTACAAATTTTGTTTGTAACGGAAAAAGTAACTTCGTTACATTTTTCGGTAACGAGTAACGAATTTAACAGTTACTTTTATCGTTACTTTTTTTGAATTTACTCGGTATAATTTTCATACAAAGGAAAATATTGATAAGAGTGTTGGAATGCAGCATTACATGAAAACTACTGAAAACTCATTTTGGTATCTTGTTTCTTTGTAAGACAATGTTTAAAAATTTTTATCCGAGGATTAAAATAGGATATCCTCAGGATATCCTACATGTATGTCCTGGATGCCCTTTGGACGTCTTAAGGACATCCTTGTGCTGTCTGGGTAGTGTACGGCTATCATTTACTCTTCCTCAGGACATCCAGAGGAGATCCGAGGATTAAAATAGGATATCCTCAGGATATCCTACATGTATGTCCTGGATGCCCTTTGGACGTCTTAAGGACATCCTTGTGCTGTCTGGGTAGTGTACGGCTATCATTTACTCTTCCTCAGGACATCCAGAGGAGATCCGAGGATTAAAATAGGATATCCTCAGGATATCCTACATGTATGTCCTGGATGCCCTTTGGACGTCTTAAGGACATCCTTGTGCTGTCTGGGTAGTGTACGGCTATCATTTACTCTTCCTCAGGACATCCAGAGGAGATCCGAGGATTAAAATAGGATATCCTCAGGATATCCTACATGTATGTCCTGGATGCCCTTTGGACGTCTTAAGGACATCCTTGTGCTGTCTGGGTAGTGTACGGCTATCATTTACTCTTCCTCAGGACATCCAGAGGAGATCCGAGGATTAAAATAGGATATCCTCAGGATATCCTACATGTATGTCCTGGATGCCCTTTGGACGTCTTAAGGACATCCTTGTGCTGTCTGGGTAGTGTACGGCTATCATTTACTCTTCCTCAGGACATCCAGAGGAGATCCGAGGATTAAAATAGGATATCCTCAGGATATCCTACATGTATGTCCTGGATGCCCTTTGGACGTCTTAAGGACATCCTTGTGCTGTCTGGGTAGTGTACGGCTATCATTTACTCTTCCTCAGGACATCCAGAGGAGATCCGAGGATTAAAATAGGATATCCTCAGGATATCCTACATGTATGTCCTGGATGCCCTTTGGACGTCTTAAGGACATCCTTGTGCTGTCTGGGTAGTGTACGGCTATCATTTACTCTTCCTCAGGACATCCAGAGGAGATCCGAGGATTAAAATAGGATATCCTCAGGATATCCTACATGTATGTCCTGGATGCCCTTTGGACGTCCTAAGGACATCCTTGTGCTGTTTGGGGACTGTCCGATAAATTATCCGAAATTACATTATATTATAACATTTACCATCTGACAATATGGGTGATTCACTCTTGTTCTATATTATTACTGTCACATTTTTGATATAATATATTCCATATACTTTGTATTGCACTGAGAATGGTCCAAAAAAAAGGGACCGAAACGTATGCTTTTTGTGATTTTGTCTATTATTTAATATTTCAATTTATATTTTTATGCATGTGAAAACTGACATTATTTTGTTGTAACCTGACGTTAATTTTGGTTGCATGAATTTAATTATCGCGAATAATTTGTCTCACCAAAATGGCAGTTTTTCCCCATGTATCCAGTATCTGTGCAGTCACACGTGATCCTGTCTTCTTTGACCGAGCATTTACCGCCATGTTCGCAAGTGTTCGGTCTCTTGCACGGATCCACAAATTGACAATTGTCTAAAGCGACTTCTCCGATTACTCTCTCGGTGTTGATCACGTATCTAGGTTCGATTCTTTGATTATTCACTCGTATCTCGCGCATACATCCTACCAGACCTAAATTGCCGATTTAAAAATCTTATTATAATCATGTTAATTTTATATAATCTTTCAAACTTATCATACTAAAAAAAAATTTACCGGCATTGTTTTTACCGCTTCCTATAATAACTTTATCACCTAACTCGAACGTCAAAGCAAAGAGTTTACTCTGCTTATTCTTGTAATCGACCAGGATGCTGAGCTCGCCTTTTGTGTAATTAAGTTCGACCGCGTGCCAAGAAGTATTGTAAGGCGGAAATTTTACCGAAGTTATCACCGTAATATTCTCAGTCATAACAGGTACTAATTGGAAACGAATTTCGTCATTGACTTGACGTAGCTATAAAAAATACACGAAAAAATATTAGTTATTATAATATACAGATTGAATAAGTGAATAAAACTAAAAAGGAGAAAAAAGAGCATTATATATATATATATATATATCAGGGTTGAGAAAGTTACTTTATAAAAGTAACTCGTTACCGTTACCGTTACTCAAAAAATAACGAGTCGTTACAATTTCCGTTAGTTTTTTTATATATAACAATAACTTTACATACAATTTTTTTTAATACAAGATCAAATTAAACACTAAAAATTTTTAAACATTGTCTTACAAAGAAACAAGATACCAAAATGAGTTTTCAGTAGTTTTCATGTAATGCTGCATTCCAACACTCTTATCAATATTTTCCTTTGTATGAAAATTATACCGAGTAAATTCAAAAAAAGTAACGATAAAAGTAACTGTTAAATTCGTTACTCGTTACCGAAAAATGTAACGAAGTTACTTTTTCCGTTACAAACAAAATTTGTAACGCCGTTACCGTTACAGTTACCGAAAAAAAGTAACTGTAACGGTAACGGCGTTACAAGTAACGCGTTACTTCCCAACCCTGATATATATATATATATATAATCATACCTCCCAATAACCAACACCACGACTGCTCTTTATATCTCCCGATGCAACGACCGCGATTGGCTTTGAACTCTTAAAATCGAAGTTTAACTTCAGCGAATCGGTTTGTTCGACGGGCCACCAGATATGACTTCCCGCGAAAGGATACGTGATCGGGATGACTTCGACATTGGCTTCATAGTATTCGGGTTCCAAGACACCGATATAGTGCACCATAGGATTGAAGCGCTTCAGTTCGTATATAATCGACTTATCGTTAAAGAACACATACTTCAAGGAACCTGAGAAAATATAAAACTGTAATGATTAAACGCAAGGCGAGATTTTATGATATTAGGTGCTGCCAATAGTTTCGTGCAGACCTGCAAAATTATTGTGTGACAGAAGACCCTTCTTCTTGTGAAGCTCCGGACCGCCACCGATGTATATCTCCGGATCAATAATCATATTGTAATTTTCTCCCGGTACTTCCAGCACCTTCACCTCGTCGTCTAAGCTGACGAAGACGAGGGATCCGTTATGGAATATAGTCAAATTGTTCCAATGGTCAGACGTGACGTAATCGCCTAGCATAGTGGAGATCTTTGACTTGTGTCCGAAATCAAGTTCAACGTAGACCGATCCGTTTATAATGGAAGCTGCAACGTAATGTGGTGTGCCATCGATCTCGCCAGAAGCGTAAAACAAGGCTGAATCGTCCCATCTAGTCTAAAAACAAATTTCTTGCTTGACAACATTCATACATTTATTATTTTTTTTTTAAATATTTTCGAGACTATATTATGGAAAAAAAACATTTTGTTTATTGCGAAGTTTATGTATATTCCATCGCTACATTTGTTTGAAAAAATTTTCTCAATATAAATTTGTAAATTAATAATTTATCAATCATATATGATGATATAGAAGATTTTGTTAAAAAAGATTTTTCTTTTTAACATTCATAAATTTTTATTAATTTTTACTAAAAAATAAAAATCCATTATTGATCTTATGATTATGATTTTTTAAATTTAATCTTGCCAGCATGAAGAGAGATTATTCAGTAATACTAATTGAATATTCAGTGTGGGACAAATTTCATTGTGTTTGTACAATGATTCGCTGTGATACAACTTGAGAAGTGGAACTCGATACTCTCTCCAAGAATTTTCACTGTAAATTTTTCGTCATAGAAATTGATCCAAGCAGCTGTTCGTAAAGGTACAAAAAGTGCGACCCTCCCGACTTCGTCAAAAAGATACATCTCGCTATAATGAATCAATGAACCCGCGACAAGGAAAAGGAAGGTCCTATTACAATAAGCACCCGAGAATAAAATACCTTAAAAGCGAGGCTGATCCTGTTGACAGACGAATGAACACGATCCTTCCAATCATACACACGGAAAGACACGTACGAGGAGCCTCTTAGCGTCAGTATCGTAGCGGCTGAAAAATGATGTTATATTTCGAACTCCATTAGCTTCATATTAAAATAATCGAATCCTTTTAGACGCACATAAAGACCCTATCTCTATTTTTTTTTTTCAATAGACAAATGTAGTCTATCTATCGTTTCTATATAGATAATTGAATTCTTTTGTATGATAATAGCTTATTCTCTATAATTATAGAAACTTTTTTAAAATTATTATATTTTTGTCCGTTTTTTTTTTACTTCAAGTATTTTTTTAATGCTAGCAGATTACTTAATGAATTGATAATTATAAAATGTTTTAAATTATTATTTGAGATATGAATATAAATAGTGAAATTTGAATATTTTCGTAAAAAGTATTCATATCAAATTCAATTATACTTTACGTACTATACACGTCGCAACGTTCGCCCTCGTATTTCGTTCCGAAACAATCGCATGTCAGACTATTATAATGATTCACACATTGATCTGAGACGAAGCACAAGTTCTCTCGTGTCCTGCACCTAAATTGAAATTTGAGATATAATCGCAATATCGAATCGTCTCAATTGCCTCAGAAATTTTAAGAAAAGACATACTTATCGATACAGCCTTCCTTAACGTTCTCATGCTTCGTCGCGATCAGCGGTCGAATGGGCAGCAAATCGCTGGCGGATTTTCCGGAACTCAAAACCATATCCCTGATGCAACCAACAAACGACTCTATTATATATTTCACTCCGTGTAATCGTTCTTCGGAGCTCAACCCTGTCAAAATGGAGATAAGATGATAAAAATACGAGTAGCAATTTTTGAGTGGTTTCGCGAAGATCTTCCTCACCTCCGATTAGAACGACCGAGGCCAAGTCTTCGGATACCCCGTAATTAACAACACGTTCGAGAACCTTTAAAGTGGTCTCGGCTTTCTTATCATCGACTCTAGCGATTAACTTCGCTCCGTGCACGTCGATTCTCACGAGAACGCTGTGCCATTCGTCTCTGTTAAGACCTTCGCCGACCGTCAGGCTAGTCGATTGTTTGCCGAACACATGAACAACTTTCAATTGACCCTTTTCCACTATCACGTAAAGTGCGTAAGGAACGAGGCCTTGCGGACGATTTTTGACGCTGTGATAAACTAGCAAACCGTGTGGAAGCTTGGTGCGAAACTTAAAGGATATCTCGCGGCATAATCTGTCAAAACATATTATATAAAAAAATAATATACATGTTATTTTCTCTTTACGTTATCATACATTAAATATCTTGTTCATGCAAAATATTTCAAATAATACATTAAATTAATAGCGATTGTAAGCATATTAAAAATGCGATACATTAAGATATATTCCCAGACAGCACAAAACGTCCTCAGGATCATCCTGAATATATAATAAATAATAAATAAATAATTAATAAATAATTAAGATTCTCTTGTTTACCTCAATTGAAAAGTTGTGATACCAGAACCATCGAGCTGAATGAAAGTATTGCTTTGCGCAAACATGAACGTCTTCTCGTGGCCAGATTCCATGAAAGTTAATTCCTGCGGTAGAAAGATATGGTAGAAATAATTTTTTTAGTTTATATAAAACATATGTGTATGAAGTATTTATACGAGTTAATGATGGCTTTACCTTTCCTCGTTGGTGCTTCGGTACCGGTGCTTTCGTCGGTTTCGGAGGTGTAAAGGTTGGTCGTGGTGTACTGGAAGTTGTTGTCGAGGGTGGACTACTTGTTGTTGTGGTGCTCGTGACAAATACACTGCCTTTCGTCACGACGTAAGGCGGTAGCGTATCTTAAAAAATAAATTATTTCAATGTATAATCAAATAAACAAAAATAAAAATTTATAACAATTTTCCTAATTTTTATCATGAATATTATCTTTATCCGTGCATAAATTTTATTTATGTAAAAAGTTTTATATTTAAATATGTCTAATTCCCTCATTTTTAATTAATGCACAGATATATTAAATAATTTACAAAAATTTAGAGTATAATTTCGCAATTTTACATATAAATACACATGTTATCATTTAATTTCTTACTTTTAATTTTCTCAATTTAAGTTTCTTTTTTACCACATTTTAACATTTTTTTTATTCTAACATCTTTACCTTTTGATCTTTTTAAACATTTTATACTTTCTCTTAATAAATAAGTTTTCCAAAAAATGATAAGTTTTCAGGACTTACGATCAGCACCACCGACGCAGTAATAAAGACACTCGTCTTCCGAGTTATATCGATTATCATTTCCTTTGCAACCGCCGTAAGGAAACGGTCGACATTTCCCTTCGGTCTTATTGAAGTACCATTTATGGACAAAGTGCGTGCAAGGTCCCGGTTCCATCTTGGCTAGACACCTGTCGGGTAGGATCTTTTTGACCGTAGTAAAAACTTCTGTTTCCTCTACCATGTCCGTTTTTGGCGAATTCGTCTGATTCGCCGAAATTTTTACTATTACGTTGAGCAAGACAAGGATCCCGAGGACCCTTTTGTCGCGGTAGATCATCGTTCCTCATTCGCTGAAAGAATAATTCAAAATTTCCATTCTAAAAAACCTTTCGCATTCAATAAAATATATCAATAATAGCTGTTTTTGTTTTATTATTTAAATTTAATTAGTAGATTATTATTGGATATTAATTATTGGAAAGAAAATGCATTCTTAAAACGCACATATTTTTTGGTCTTATATTTTTAGACAGATTTTAATTTTTATAATATTAGCAAAAAATATGTAATTAAATATATATTTATAAATATATATCATTATATATAGCGATACGTACACGTGCACTTATTAACAGTTCTCTAATCATTAGTCTGTTAATGAATAACACATTGCTTCTAATTGTTATAACTCAATAAGCTGGTCTAACTAAATTTACAACATTGAACTTAAAAACATACGGTTCGATCGCGTTTTTACAATAGTACCGCGTCTTTTCAGATAGTATGAGATTAAAAAAACATTATCAACATCTCACTTTATGTGCAAAATTCGAAATATTGCGAAATTCAAGAATGAGGCTAATTAACTTCGAATTGCGCGAGTTTTGAATCATTTTTCAGAATTGCATTTTTTTTAAAGTAAAACGACAATGTAATATGTAAAATGCACATTGCCTTGCTTATGTCTTCTCTCGCTTTAAGCGCGATGCGATCGATTAAATTGTCACGGACTGATTAGGATCAAGTCTGACGCGTTTTCATGCTCGAAAGCCTCTCGCTTATCTCGCGCGCTTTAAAAAAACGCTTTTACGATTCAGGCCACGTGGACTGGACACCCACGCTCTCTCTTCCATAAAGCGCTTAAAACCGCCCGTCCTTCCGGTGTGTTCCCGGTTAAGTCTATCTTAACACGAGCCCGTAGATACATTTTTGCGATTACAGCTGCCTGATTTATGACTTCCCCTCGCGTCGCGACACCGGTACCCGGTACCGGATCGGGAAACTCGTATGAATGATGCAACGAGTAGCGCATCCCATGCGACCGTTCGTTAAGCGATCGGTGATGGATTTCGATATAATCTTTCATTTTTCGTCTCCTGAAAGAGGTATCTTTCATTTGCATCTAAGTACCCAGAAGTCAAAGTGTATACACGCAAAGGGTATACACAAGTGTATACCTCGAATGGATCTTCTTTATTTAATTGTAACGCGATATATCAAATCCGCTTTCTCTCTCTCTCTCTCTGATAATAAGGCATTAACATAAGCGCGCGAGACGAAATAAAGTGTTAATTTACGATGCCACATAATACGCTACACGATGCGTAATCCGACCGCAAACATCGGCCGTTTCCTCGAACATCTTCGCGAGAGGAGTATCGTAAGCTCTTACAATTATCTTTTTTACGGGGTCAATTGAATTTGATCTAACAATAAGACGAAAGAAAGACCCGCCGCTCGGTAATGAATCGCTGGTCGGTGCTTCCTGTCGAATTTGTTCGTCCTTAAGGGGGAAACCAGTCTAACGGCTAAAAAAAAGACTATTTCTAAGGATTTTTTTTCTGGTAAATAATTTTTTTTTTTTTCGAATCGGAATTTTTTCAGAATGGAATTTTCGATTGAATAATTTGTTTTTTTGTAATGTTAAAAAACAAAGGTCAATATCTCACCGATTTTGGAACTTTTTTCTTCAAAAGTTCGCCATTTTGTAACAAATTATTTTTTTTTAAATCCATACGTGCAACTGAAGCTATTGTCTTATATTTTAATTATTGTCTTATATTTTAAAAATACTTGTTTTTTTTTGTTTCAAAGTTTTCGTTGCCCCGCTACGCGTGCGCCCGTTTTTTTTAAGGCGACTCACTCTTGGTTATTGTAGCTATAAATATTAATGTTTTTTAACGAAAATTTCACAAAAGGTAGTTCAAATTATGTACTTTGTGATGTTAATAACGCGATTTAAAAAAAAAACAATTATTTACCAGAAAAAAATGGATAAAGTTCCGAATAGGTGAACCCTCCGATTTTTTTGAAACTACACTATTTTTTGTA